TATATATATATATATATATATATATATAGATAATATCATGTCATTATAATATAATGAAACCATATTTCTAGAAAACCATGCTTGTAGTATTTGTGTGACCTGAAATTTTGTATATACACTCACATCATCTCAATAATCATTCTAAATAAAATTAAAAAATTCGCCCCATATATAGTCAAATTGAGTCTCCTCCAACAATGAATATAGACCGTCCATTTGGTGAATTTCACGATCTAGGCTTTTATGAATTCAAAATCAATTTTTTCTTTTTTAATATTGTTAATCTAGTGACAATAAATTTATCTAAATATTTGAAAAGAAAAAAGATCATTATAAGGTCTAGATCTAAGCAACTCACCAAAATGGACAACCTATATTAACTGGTCTAAAAAACACATTCTAGGTTGTGTTTTCAAATTTTTCTTTTTTGTAATTTTTTATTAAAATTAAAAGAGTGTATATTTAAAATGTTGGGTCAAACAAATGACCCTAACATAGTTTTTAAAGATTATTTCAGTATATTATTATACAAAAAACATATATTTTAAATTTTTTGTTAGGTTCTAGACCCAAACCCCAACTGGGTCAGGGTCCAAAACCCAGACCCAAGTTTGGCCGGGTCGACTCGGACCCATCCCGACCCATTGATACCCCTAATGGGCCAGGGGCTTCTATTGTTGTGCATCCCTTGACGAACATACCATTTTTCCAATATTAAAAGGAAAGTCTTTTTTAAAATATTAATCTTGTATGTTTTTGTAATTTTTTTTTAAAATCAATATTACTTATTTTATGGCATTGTATACTATGAGATCATGTATTTTTAGTATGAGAAGTTCACAATTATTTTTAGCCATTGGATGTGAAGTTTATTAGATGAAAGTGTGTTGCAATATTCGAAAAATTTTATTTTGGAGTTTGTTCAAACAATGACACATCTTTAATTTCAAATCTAACAGTAAATAATTATTGTTAGCTCCTTATATAAAAAATAGATGGCCTCATTATACACATTTTTTATTTTATGTTTAAAAACTCCAACAATGGGTACAACTATATACTGTATCATTCTGAGTCCAACCGCTCCAAACTTTTATGTTGGTATACTAAACAATAAAGGTGTCGTTTGTATAAGGCTGAGGTCCTAAATAATCAAAGTAAGGTGCACTTTTCAATAGCATCAAAAGATGCCGTTTCAGTACTAAAAATCTTGGTGATGTCTATAAATTTTATTTTTATCTCAAATTATAAAATTTAAAGCTTCCAAATTAGTGTCGACCTAGAAGATTATAAATACTTGAAAATGTTGAAAATTAATGATCTGGAAAATGCATTACAAGATGCATAAATTTGAAGACTTGAAATTTGTTTTTCCTCATGTCCATGCATCTTAAGGTCAAGATGATTGATTTGAGGATTTTTGGACATCGAAACAATTTCTTCTAGTAAATTTTTGAGGTACTCCTTAATTTGATTGTTTAGGGTCTCTCCAACATTGGCCAAATAAAAAAAGGTGTACGGAGTTTCTTACTTTTTCTTTTAAAATCAATATCCTTTTGTTTTATTTTTTAAGACTCCAACAATGGGATGCAACTATATTGTATCGTTAATGGTCCAACCCCTCGAAACCTTTTATGAAGTTTCATGGGCTGCAACTTTATGTTGGTATACTCAACATTAAAAGGGCCAAAAAGAACCTTTTTATCAAGTATTCTTAACCTTATCGACAGAGGGGGCTTTGGTTTTAATATCTTAAAAAGGCACTAGCCATGAGTGGGACACTTGCTGGGTCTCTCTCTCTTTCTCATGAACCGATACTCTCTCCGCCCACCTTTTCCTAGATTCCCTCATCCCATCCTTGGGATAGGAGGGTCAATCGGGCCGGTTCTACCCGGCAACCTATCGATTGCCCTAGCCCCGGTACATGGTTAGACTCGTAAACGAGAGTGGCGGGGACGAGTCAAGCTCAACCGGACCAGACATGAGCCAATTATGTGTGTGTCGACCTGAATAGTCCACCATACTCGGTTCAAGGTCACAGTAGCACTCACTGGATCTGGTTAGGTCCAAGTCTAGTGAACGGGAGTCGATCCAGACACTATCAGGTTAAGTCCAGATCATGTTAGTGCCAACCCGCTCTGACTTGCCCATTTATAGCTCTACTTAGTGGGGAACACGGGCAATGGTACTCTTGTATCCAAAACCGAATACCCACCAAGTATATTTCTCCTTATCTAATTGCCCATTCTAAATGGAGGGCTAAGATAGCCCTAATCACAATGTCCCCTAATCACAATGTCATGTATCTGCTCTATTTTATTTTAAATTTTGTCTATAAAATATTTTCACACCAAAATTTGGGTATCTAATCCTCTATTAAATTTGCACTTCTAAAAAATATATATAAAAAAATTCTCAATAAAATAAAATAACCAAAACACCCCTAAAAGTTTTAAGGGGTATTTTGGTCATTATATTTTATCAAAAAATTATTTTTAATATATTTTATTGGTGCGTCACAATTATAAGATGACACGTACCGAATTTTATGTTCATAAAATTGTATAGAAAAAATTAAAATTAAAATATTTTGAGGCATCAGATCTATGATCAAACAATGAGTGACTCACTTGATCAAAATTGGTCGGTTAGATGCTAGGGGAAGCATAGATCTTCTATATTCTTGAGAAAATATAGACACCTTTCCCAAATCGGGCTAATATGTTTATATCTTTAGGAAATGATTAGGCAAGCAATGGGCCAATCAATCCAGCTCGGCCCAGTGGTCCAGGCAATGAAATAGTAAGTCTTGAGCCACAAAACATGCCTTGAGGACCGTTTTGGCCAACCCAGCCCCATATGTTTTGTTTTGTTTTGTTTTTTAACAATTTTCTTTTTTTTAATCAATCTAAACTTAGCTTGTCCCAGCCCGGCCCTATAAGGGCCAAGGTAACCACGGTCTTTTGCCTGGTTTGGGCTGGAACGACTAGGGGACCTAGGCTGGCTCGTCTAGAGCCAGCCCTTCCCAGGTTCCGCTGATTGCCAATGCTAGGAGCAAAGAAGTCACATACGTTGTCCCAAGCCACTGGATAGACAATATCCTTCCCACATACGATGTCCCAAGCCCTTGGATAGACCATATCCTTCCCAAGTTTCCATCCAACCTGCCTTTTCCTTCCATTTTTTTGCATAACCTAGTTTACAATGTTAGCTCTTTTTAAGTTTTCCACCTCTCTCTATATTATATAGATTATATATTATAAGACCATATATTTTTGAAACAAGAAAGTCACTATTACTCTTAACTCTTAGCTAATCAATGTGAAAACCAAAAAGATAAAGTAGGTCATTAAAAATTTTATTTTGAATTTTTGCCCATCAATGACATATCTCTAACCATTCGATTTCACACCTAACTATCAATAATACTCATGACTTCCTTATACCAAAAGTAAATGGCCTCATTGTATATATTTCCTCTTGTTCCACCCTAGTTTACAAACTTGACTATGTATACTATGCTCCCACTAGCGCATACCACAGATTTACTCCCTCTATCACAAACCTACTTGGGATCATTTTCAAATAAAACTTAGATCTCACCCTCCAAAAATCAGATGCTCTCCGTTCGATCTTGACAAATTATTATTTTTTTCATGTGCATAGAGAGTAATATGCAATTTGTTTTGAGGTTAGTCTATAGTTTGAAGAGGCTGAGATTAGTCTATAGGTTAAAGAGGCCACATCCTCAAAATTTGAGGTCCTAATTACTCCAATAGTGGTTTCTACCCTAGGGAGGAAATGGACAATATATTCTCTTGGGAGTATGAAATCTTTTGGCTACAAAGTAAGCAATTGTTTATTTAAGTAAACATTGCCTTAACTATAATAACAAAAGTAAGAAAACAAATCAAAACACATGTTAATTATTGTAGATCAAAAGAAAGCTAGCAAAAGCAAACTTAGTGCACCACCTCTTTTACAAACTGAGAACCAGTCATAAACATGAATATGTTTCAAAGAAGGCATACAAATAACTCACAATCACATTGCCCCTCCCCATCACATGGAAACTGCATCCAACCACCCATTCTCAACAAGAAGAGGATTGGTTTTATCCTTCCTAACAACACTTTCCAAGTGCAATGAAACATTAAAGGAAGGGGCCACATGAACAGTTGAATAAACCTTGCTACCATACAAAACCCTAGAAAAATCCTCCCCTCCCCCACTCCAAACCCTACCATCCCCATATACTAAGTTTCCTCTGCCTAAATAACAGCTCAACCCTTCCCCATGCATCATCTCACCAGTCCTTGTAGGCTCACCAGACTCAATCAAACTAGTTTCTCCCTCTAAGAACCTCAAATTCTCATTGCACAAATAGCTAGAGTTCTTTCTAACTTGGTCGGCGTAGCGACGCTTTGCCATGGCCTTTAGGAGGAGGTGCTGGAACTTAGGGTTTTTCAAGCATGAAGATCTCGAAAACTCATCAGTCTGAAAGTTGGTCTTTGCGTTCTTTCCTCGCAAGATCCGCGCAGCTGCATCATAGGCCTTTGCTGCCTCCTCAGCTCTATCAAAGGTCCCCAGCCACAACCTTAGCTTTTGTGATGCATCCTTAATCTCTGCAACCCATCTCCCTGAAGGCCTTTGTCTCACACCAAGGAACCTCATGGTTTTGCTCCCTTGCTTTTGAGGAAGCAGCTCTTTTTCTGGTGCAATTCGGTGGGGTTTTAATCCTCCATTGAAGTTAGGATCATGGGATTCTGGTGGTGAGCTTTCTTGAGTTGCACTTGATGAGGAAATAGGCTCTTTTCCTCTTGCAAGTTGGTGAGATTGTGCACCTCCATGAAAGCTTGGGCTAGTTTCTGAGTGGATATCTTGGGCCATATTTGGTGGAAAAAGTGGGTCTTTCTCTATTGCAATTTGGTGGGTTTTTCCTCCATTAAAGCTTGGATTATGGCTTTTTGAGGAGCTTAGTAGGGCCATATTTAGAGGAAGAAGTTAAAGAGAATGGTTTGGGCCCAAAAAGATAGTGCTGTGAGGGTGTTGATGATGTATTCTTAGTGGTTGGGCTTGGATTTATGCATGTCAAGATATGCTCAATGATTTCGTCAATCTTGCAGCCATGGCATATTCTCTACTATAAAATGACCAAAATGACCTTGATCACGTGAGTAACCACCTAGGGCTAGTTGAAGTTCAATGACAAAATCACCCCTCAATTCTTGATATCCCATTTTGGACATCATATAATCACTAGCAACAACTTGAAGTAGTACTATCAAAGCACATTGGTGGAAACCAGTGTTTCAAAAATTGCAATCGGGTCTCAAAAATCGCAATCGGTTTACAACTCGCCAAGGTTTGATTCTGATTCGCTTAGCACGACTCGGGCAATTTCCAAGTCAACAGGGTAATATTCAACGTAGAAATTTTATAAAAAGCTGGAAGTGGGGGAATCAAGGGGATGCATGAGTTCTTCAAAATGGGATCCCATGGCTATTGATCCCGAGTTGAATCAGACGATTCCGAATCAGCTTTATAAATCCTTGGTTAAGTTCAAGTGAATACGGTTAGATTGAGAAAGTGAAAAACATTACAATCTATCATTACTAGTAGGAAAGAACACTAATGTGATAGGAACTTTGCTCCGTTAAAAAACAATGGCATCTTGGTCATTTGGCAATGTTCATGGATGTCTTTGTCATTTCATGAAATATTTGAAGGGGTTTTTTTCGGTCATATCATGGTTCCCAAATGCATAGGCAATGGACATAGTTCCAAACCCAATTAATGCCCAATGTGCTTGCTTCCAATTGCCTCCAAACAAAATCCTGGTTCAAAAGTGAAAAAACAAACCCAAGCCCTTGTTTCTTCTAAGTTTTTTTTTCGGTTCAACATAGGAAACCCTAATCAAATATTACTTTCCATTTGGCACTTCATACTTGTCCTTGTAAGGATTGGAATTCCCTCAATTTGCGAGCTAGAATATTCTTCACTCTCCTTTTTATCTATTATTAAACTGCAACAAGCTGGAGATTCAAACCCAACTCTTCTAAGTGTTGGGACCATCCTTCCTGTCCAAAATTTCGGCAAACTTTCAATAAATTTCGGCCAAATCAGGTAGGCATAGAATTTGGGCCGAAGCTCTTCACATTTTGGCTTGAATGTCACTGAATTTGCCAGGAATGGGCCCAATCTCTAACTTGTGGAGCCTTACCTTCTAGTTGTCCACCTTGAAATTATGATATTCACTATCTAAGACCAAGGTTTAGGAGGAAAATAATGTTTAACCGAATTCCCCTAAACTTTGGCGTATAATAGAATCAAAATTTTTGGAGTTGCACTACAACTTTGGATGAATTAGGAGATCGTTAGAGTTTTGTCGACTCAAAGCGTGGTTAGTATGGTGAGTGCCACAACATGACGTCTTAAATTCAATTCTTTTTATAAGTAGGGGCGCTTTCCCTACTGATCTAAGTAGGGGCCCTTTCCCTACTGATCTACCTTAAAAAAAAAGAGGTCATCATCTGTTCCTGTTCATATAACATTATATAATGCATGGATATAAACAAGTCCCCCAACTCACTAAACAAGGATGGTTGAGTGACATCATTCCTCTATTAAATACTTTTCTCTCAACTTATAGGAAGATTTCTAGTGGACGAATGATGCCTTGCAACTGTCCAATTAATTGATATCACAGTTGAGGAACATGCATTTATCCATCAATTATATGAAAATATAGTAAAAAATAGCTGATGAAACTTTCTTGCCAAATTGATACACCGATATTTCTCTAAACTGGTGGAATCATGAGGAAATCAGTGATGAATATGAAAACAAATTGTGGTGGAGACTAAGAAGCAATGTCAAAAACCATGGGAATAAGTGTTATGATAACTCTAGTTATGCCACCTGCATGTTATTTATGTGATATACATATTATTAGTCACACTTAAAGTGTAGGATATATTTCATTGAAATAAGGGATTCTCTACATGATGCCATTTATCTTTTATACATGGAGGTGAATCATTCTTATCGATTAAATTTCAAAATTGTAAGAGTGCCATTGAATAGACACAAAGTTTCATGAAAAAAAATTCTCGAACTTCGTGTTTATCCAAACTATTGAATTTGACATCTAATGAGTGCAAATAATTGCTTTTAATAGTGCGGTTAAGATCCCATCCATTATCGAAACTTTTCAATTTCATAAAATTTTGAACTTTAAAGATCCGAAATAAGGTAATTTTGAAAAAAATAAAAAAGCATAAAAGTTTGGATTATGAACAGCACTGACAAAATTTAAAGAGGGAATTTTGAATAACAGAAAAATTCGGGAATACACTCATAAATTCCTCTTATTTATGTATCCTGGTATAACAACTAATACCAATTTGAAAACAAAACTTACCAGCCCTATTATTTCTAGACCTTTGAACTTTGTCAAGGAAGAAAAAATAATACATATGGGAAAAGTGTTATACGCGTTTGGGACTCATTCCTACATTTTACCTTCCCGCATAAACCTTCCAACCCAAAGGGATGTAAATGGTGATCTCTCCAAAAAAAAATCTGTAAACCAATGATCTAAATATTTCCTTAAAAAAATTATCACTTTTAGTTTATACAATTTATTTATTTTTATGTATTAATAATCTTCATGTTAGAGATTATAGATTTCTTAAAAATTTGGGCCAAAATCCATTTAGAAAATGGATTATGAAGCGGGTGAATTTCTACATGAGTCTGGGAACTCATAGAAACCATGGCCATACGCTATATATGGTGGCTGCTCCAACATAGAGTTGTTGTGCTCCGATCCGAACCATTTAATTTTGTGAAAGCACATCACACATGCAACCGACCCCAAATAGTTCGGATAAAGTTCGGATGGCAATGACACCATACACATGCACCGCCAAGTACGATGATCTAGGAATTCCCAATCAAGGCTTCATCATAGCAGCCAATACTGATAGGGCCATGAAGGCCGTATGCCGGATTCCCGTTGTTGCCACAATATACTTCCATTTATTACAATTTTTATGGTTTCAAAACCGTTGTATAGGAGGCCTAAAGGTTGGACCATGTGATCAAGCACGGTGTATATAAATTAAAGATTTTCTTATTATTCTTACACCGGCAAGGCCACTCACAATGTCCAATTACAAATAAATAATAACTCCTGAAATGAATAAATTAAAACAACAAGGAACTACGGTTCTTCACTTGCTACCACTATTGAATACAACTCCTTAAATAAAAAACCTTAACTCATTGATTTATAGGAATAGAAGAGCTCAACACAAAGTAAAATTTAAAGAATGAGTAAAATTGTCGGAGATTACCGGGCTCAGTACATCCTACGTCGAGTCTCCTCATTCTGATGGTGCTCAAGATCTATGATCGGTTTCTTAATTCTCCTACTGGTAGCATATTATGATATGGTTTACAGGAGCTGTAGATATACATAGTTAGGACGCTGAGTCTTCATCAGCTGATGTGGCAGGCCATACCGTAATGCCTATGTTGTGAGATGGTTCGAAGTCAGGGATTTGACGTGTGTCCTCTCAAAGCCTAGCCATCTTACACATGGCTCACTTAGTAAAGCTCAAGCTCACATCTAAAATCCATACAATAGAAATACTTGTGCGTTGGCTATAATGATCACAAGGCATTTGTGCTGATCCTAACTAGGGTAAACCCCTCTTAATATGATCCCTTATACACTCACCTCACAATTCGGAGTTTTGTGACTTTATGGAAACCAACTCCAAACACATGGTGCTCTTGTTCACTCCTACCATGAAAATGACGGTGTCAAGGCTTTATAAGGCTATAATACTATCATTTGAAAGCTCTTAATCATGGTGAGTCCATGTCCCCTTTATGTTAACTGCGAATGAGATTCTAGCCAATTATTGGGTCAGGCAAATATTATGTCTATCAAATAAGCCGAAGTTGAGCCTTCTCAATTAACTAGAACCATTAGTCATAGTTCATGGTACGCGACTGAGCCTTCCTTGCAAATTGCTAATAAAGGATGACATTGCAGCTTTTGAAATTTTTTAGTTGTGTTTTGACAAGATTCGAAGTCATGGGATGTTCACACTTTCTTTGAAGTATTAGACATCTTTCGGATAAAATATCTTTGTGAAGCAATCGAGTATCAATTGAATATCCTCCCAGGAACAAAACTTCTCAGAATGAAACATTCATTAAATAACTCTTAAAATTTCGTAATTTAGGAAGCCTTCTGGGGCTACAAAACCGTTAACTGAATTTCCATATGATCGAAACTAATAGTTAGTTTGCTGAAGATCTTAAAGAAAGAATTATTGATGAAAATAGTTGAGAATACACTAAGAAATCTCGGTTTCTTAGTTAACCATGCCAAATACTCACAGAGCAGATTTCTGCCTATTTGAGTAAATTTTCATCCAAATTTTACTCTAAAATGGGTTTTATATACATTTGAAGTTTATTATTTGTGCAATATGGATAAAATAAAGCAGGTGGGAGTGGTTAGGAAGAACGACGATATGTCACAATCTAAAAACATGAAGTATAGAGTAAGTATAGTAAAATTGCCATAACTGCAGTTAATGATCACATGCTTCTTCATAACTGTGATGAATAGCCGCTAGGGAATCTGTCATTCTAAATTGTTCCTAAACAATTTTAGGCATGAAATTTGAATTATTTTAATCCAAACATTCATCTTTGTTGATCAAGCATAGGTTAACCTATGATTATTCACGATTCTTGCCCAAACATTGGAAACTATGGTACGTTGGTTCGAAACTCCTAATAATTCAGTTTTAAGTTCATTTGAAACTAATCATAACCACTCTCCACATGTTTCAAAACTACTTTAAAAATGAAGTGACAAATCAACAAAGATAATGCTTCCTTGAAAATGTCTGAGAAACTTAAATTTTCATGTAGTTCAATGCTGTGTCTCATCCAGTACAGTGAATGATGAACCTAAAATTATGCCCTTTAATGAGTTAA